CTACAAACTTGGCCCCCGGCCTGTTAAAATACAGTTGAGAACTCATGGGGTAAACTGTTGAGAGTATGACATATAGGTCTACAGACGTGGTATTTTCCTTGGAAGGGGGTAAACAGTGAGACTATAATGTATACATACTGATGTCTTCCCAGGAAGGGGTAAGCTTCTGAGAACATATGTATAAATATTGATGTGTTCCCAGGAAGGTGGTAAGCTTTTAAGAGTATGATGTAGGCCTATGCACACTGGTGTCTTCCTAAGAAGTGGATAAGCTTTTGAGAGTGATGTATATTAACTGTTAGTAAGTTTTTGAGTGTATGATGTATACATACTTGATGTGTTCCTGGGAAGAGCGTAAACTGTGAGTGTATATTTTATGCATACTGTGACTTTTCAGGAAGAAAAAGGTGTAAACTAGCTTAAGGAAATTGTGAAATGGGAGGGGATAAACTAACATGATACACAGTACCGTACCTGATGCATTTCTTTCCTGTCTATATTTACCCTCCTCATGTTGATGTTTTTACTATCAAATGTTCGATCTTTTTCTGTAAAATCTACCATAAGTATTACAAACAATTTGTTGATTCAACTTTTAAAAGCAGTGACAAATTATATTTTGTAATATTTTGATTTCAATGTTGTTTATGTTTCACACATTTTATCAGTGTTTTATCTGCTCGCATTTTAGTTCTGAGAATGCCGTTTTCGGCCATCTAGACATGCCGTAACCATCTAATTGGTACCTTACCCGAGCTGGCCACAACCATGGTGAGACTCAGGTGGTCTACAGTAATTTTTCTTTCTCATTGAATGCACCAAATTGTTGTGTGCCACTGAAACAAAAGTGTATGTTCAGCTAAATAAATGAAATATATTGTCTCGGTTACAATCATCACGAAGCAATGAGACGGGCTGTTTAATCGCACTACTTGTTCTATGCTCGACTGAATTTGAGGAGTCACGTGACGTAGACGGCCAATCAGGCTGCTTAATTTTTCTTCATTGGCAATTCTCATATAGGGGAAAAAAAATTGCGGGCCCACCATTTACTTAGGCTTTCAGAAGAAGGCTGTTGTAGATGTTGGGCAATTGATGTGCGCCCTCGACACGGTTCAGATATTCTTTCCTTTTTCGTATAGGGGGCGGGGGGTTCAGTAACCGAGCAGTGGCACGGTAACGAAGATGCTTGAAAGTTAGCATCAAATCGATGGAGATCACTTATGTTCCTGTACAAGAATAAAATGGTCACATGTGACACAAAATAATGTATGTTTTATTATATTTCAACTCCACACTACCAGCAGAAAGTCCAACCCACCAATTGCAGAATGAAAAAAAAAAACAAATCAAAAAAACAGGATACAAACTACAATTATAGCCTGACATCAAGAATACATTGAATGAGTTTTAATATTCAGTGAGAGAAAGAATTTAAAAAAATGTATTAATAGTGTTATCTAAATTAAAACTAATATAATTTTAAAGTCCTTTCTTAAAATTATCAACTCTACTAAATTAAACAGAGAACAAATTTACTCGTCCAAGACAATGTGCAGAAACGTCTTGCCGTAATTCTCTACTTAAAATTTTATTTATTATTTATTCTCAAGATAATAATTTCATCTATTTTCTATTCTCGCTGATTAAGAATTTAGTTATAAAAGCAATAAAATCAATTTACTTGATTATCAACCAGTTTAAAAGGGAACTAGAAAGATGACTTTTTTTTCTAGAAGGGATTTTTGGTATGGTAAATTTCTTAACCATCGTCATCATACATCACCTACATATTATGAATGAGCTTTGTGTGCCCTGCCGTTTGAAAAATTGCAAACGGAATTGTCATTTGAAAAAAATGTGACGAATAGATTTGCGGTGTATGAATTTGTGCTGAATGAATTTGCGCACAATGGTCATTGCACTGCTTAACGAATGCGCTGCAATAAATAGTGGATGCACTAAGCTATGGAACGCCTCTTCTGCCTTCAGTTCACAATCATACATGCAGTACATACCAATCGCTATGCACTAAACTGACCAAACAATATGCAGTACACACCACACACTATGCAGTACTTGCCAATTACAATGCAGTTAAATATTGCGCCATTTACACCGCCACCTAGTGACAAAATTGAATATCACGAGACGTTTATTAGACGGCTGTAAATTTCTAAGGGAATCAATTGGTTGTATTGTATTTTCTGATATGAGGAAACATTTGAGTAAAAAGATCGTAGCATAAACTGTTAAATAACTACTACAGGAATCTCTCGGAGGAATAGCATTTTGAGCTATGCAGTAGGTTATTAAAATAGGCCTATATGTCTCGCTGTTGTTTTCTTTTATATAGGACGAAATGTAAAAATTGATTTCAATATAAACGTAAAAATAAGTAAATAAATTAATCACTGCTATGTCACCTACTAGAGGTAGTGTTTTGATTGGTTAAACACTTTTGGTACTAGTGCATATAAGCTTGCTAATATGGATATTTTTTTCATTCCCGATGATGACATAATTAATGTCGAAATATTGAACACGATGGCGTGTATTTCAATACTGGGAGTATGTATTATACTTTCTTACCTAAATTAATATCTATACAATGATTTGGTGAAAACAGAAAACTATAGATATCAAGCAAAAATAAGTGATAACATCAATTGAATCTCCTGTTGAATTATAGGCCGGGGAGGGTGGAGGTTTTCGCGTAATCTATGGTTGGTTGTCATGTCCCAAACATCAATAATTGTAAGATTTGGAATCTCAGCCATCACCTTCCGTAGTTCTTTGTCCAAAATTAATGAAACCCAGTCGCCCTTATTTACCTGTCTCTTATACACATCTAGATGTGTATAAGAGACAGCCTCAGGTTTGGATCTGGGCTGGTAATCTACTGGTTCGGATACGTTGAGGATCTGGACATTCACAGAGATCGTGGAATTGCTCTTGCCCAAGATTTTCCAAAAAAGTTTGTTAGCTTCCAACCATCGTCAGTTGAAAGTATGATGCATAGTAGCTGATGTATTCCTAGGAAGGGAGAAAACAGTTTTGTGTGTGTCCCTATGAAAGAGGGTACATTGAATTGAATGAGAAAACCAGGATAATTGAACCGTCAAATTGATCCAATCTACAAACTTGGCCCCCGGCCTGTTAAAATACAGTTGAGAACTCATGGGGTAAACTGTTGAGAGTATGACATATAGGTCTACAGACGTGGTATTTTCCTTGGAAGGGGGTAAACAGTGAGACTATAATGTATACATACTGATGTCTTCCCAGGAAGGGGTAAGCTTCTGAGAACATATGTATAAATATTGATGTGTTCCCAGGAAGGTGGTAAGCTTTTAAGAGTATGATGTAGGCCTATGCACAATGGTGTCTTCCTAAGAAGTGGATAAGCTTTCGAGAGTGATGTATATTAACTGTTAGTAAGTTTTTGAGTGTATGATGTATACATACTTGATG